GTGGGAGAATATAAAGCCCCGTGCGCAGCGCTCACAGTAAATATTTAAACCACTCGAAGAGAAAGTTTATATCCCTGCGCAGCCACGTAATGTTCTCAATGCATTTCGTTATAAATTGCCAACTGGTGCAAGGCTCACGCCACAATTTCTTCGACCCTTTTTCGGAACTGTTGTGGATCCACCCATGTATCTGATAATACGTTCTCATTCTTATTTCCGTGTTTGGGGAAGAAACGCGTTCAATTCAAACCATCATATGTCGATTAAGAACTGCCAAGCGATCCAGGAAAGCTTGAAAGATCATGGTTTTCAAATCACTAAATGACCGGCAGTACGTACGGTACTTTTCTTAAATCTAAGGAATCGAACCGGTCATATCCATATGTCGAATAAGAAGTACAAAGCCATCCACCAGATTTTTATAGACCACAAGTCTAACTCTCGTGTCACAAGATGATTTACAGTTAATTAAATGAAAAATGTGAAATGATTGCAAATCATTGTCAAATATGAAACTATTTCCAAACAAATTAGGTCATACTAATTGAATAAATATCTTGAGTATTTCTTGCAGCGCTTGACACTTGTCAGCCGGCAAAATGTAAAAGAGATTCAGCATATGATCGGTAAGCTCGATTTCCTAAACTCGGACTGCCAGCCATTTAGTGATTTGAAAACCATGACCGGCAGTCGACCTACTGAGAAAGACTGGGTCACAAACCATGGTTTCGCCCTCTGAGCCGAGCGCAAACCAAGCGTTAGACTTGCGATCTTTAAAGCTTTTCTGGATCATAACTTAAACTTTCCAAACTTCCAATCGACATATGATAGTTTGAATTGGACGGGTTTCATTCGATTCCTTAAATTGCTCGAATTGATGACTAGATATGTAAGGAATTGGCGTTCTGTTCCGGAGCACCTGTCCTGTGAAATTAAATACGATATCAATGGGTAGGTAGCTGGTCCTATCCTATTTGAACGTTATTTTTTTTAAAAAATAACGCAAGCTTTTAAAAATAATGCAAGCTTTTAAGTTAAGTTATATTGCACGCAAGTCAATTGGGGAGAAATAGTCTGGTAGCTTGTCAATAGAAGTTAGGGTTGGATGAATGATATAGCTACTTGCATCGATCCTCTACCTTTTTAAAGGGAAACCATACAGCTTCCATCTTGTTCAGCACAAGGACCTAACAAAGAGTTGCGCCATTTACCTCTGATAATTAAAGGGAATCGTTGTGCACCAATTATTGCATTTAAACCTATATAATAAGGTCCGCACCACCTGTGATTCCTTCGACCGGAGATTTAAAGCTAACATTCACCGCAAGCAAACACAGTCGGTCCATAGTCGGTCGACAGTCGGTCGATAGTCGGTCGATAGTCGGAAAATAGTCGGTCGATATGTCGACCGATATATGTCTGCCGATAGTCGGTCGACATATCGGTAGACAGTCGGTCGATATTTGACCGACACTTGGCCGATGCTTCACCGATACTTTGCTGACTCTTAAGTGATGCTTCAATGGCATTTGACCTATTGTCGACCTTATGGACGTGTTTTGTGTTTCAAATTTTTCAATACCGACACTGCAACAATACACAACCACACGAGCGACGTTCAAACTATATTTACCGATAAAGTTCAGACACTTGACCGATAGACTACCGACACTCGGCCGATAGACCACTGACACTTGACCGATCAGTTCCACCGACACTTGACCGATATTCCACCGAGACGCGACACTCCATCTGTCGGTCGACAGTCGGTCGACATATCGACCGACATGTCGACCGACTATCTTCCGACTATCGACCGACCCGTCGACCGACTATCGACCGACTGTCGACCGACTGTCGACCGACATATCGACCGATATGTCGGTCGACATGTCGGTCGCCATGTCGGCCGACACTACCCGAGCAAGGCGATTCTCCACTCTGGCCACTAGCTCCTCTTTAGTGCCTGACACTTTCATTCCGTGATTTTCTAGCCATTGTTGTAGTTTAAGCTTCTTCCAGGCGTTATGAAACTGATCACTGACAAACTCCGCCATTACTTTTGCACGCCATGGAAGATCTGTACTAACCACAGCATCGCCATGGCGATAATTCAGCCCAGTCTCCGTTGTGTGCGGTTTATCCTGGGAAAAGGCCATTGTTGGGCGCTTGTCACGTCATTCGGTCACACGTTTTTTCTTTTTTTTATAACCAAATTCTCCCACCAGTTTCAAGAGTCATTTTCAAATAAATTTTTTACCTTTTTTGTCTTCTTTTAACTGGAAGATTTAACAACTAATTGAAGCTAAGCGTACTTTACTCGTGCCGGTTTAGAAGTAATTGATGAAGGAAAGAAAAGCATCGGATTTGTGAAAAGGCAACAACTGTCCTCAGTAGTTCCTTTTCAGCACGAGCGGATAAACTAGTGAGACGTGTTAATTAGTTACATATCACACGGAAAATGTATTTATCGATCGTGAAAAACAAAAATTATTTTTAAAAAATATGCCACTTTATTCCATGCACCCAGCCGCGATAACAAAACCTTAATACAATATATACACTGCATAACAAGGGCCGGCAACCAAGGACATACTATGTTCTGTCGTCCTCTGGGATAGTATATTTTGCAGTACGCCCGATTCAACGAGGTTTTCGGTATAACCATCTCTTTAAGAAACTCAGCAATAAACACTAAGAAAAATGTTCTGTTCATTTCTCAATTTCTGTTTTTAGCTTCGCAGTCTAACTGATGTGCTTTCACATCTTTCTACAACATGGGCTTCTTTAGATGTTAAGGTTGATCGCCATTTATACCAACAATCGAACACAACATCTAAGTTTCTCGTTTCCCTAACGGGAATAATTGCATCATTTTTCCGATAACGAGATCCGTATATAGAAGAGAATGATCCTACTGTAACCAGTGGACTTTGTTACAAACAAAAGCCCAGTTTTCCTGGAAGAGTTAAAATGTTTATTAATTATTATCCCTTGCGATCGTCTACCGTACGATGAAGCATGTATGTGTACGTGATGCGTTGAGTAAATATTTATAGCTTTTCCTTGTTACCAGTCCAACCGTGCGTGTTGGGTCACTCAGCCTTAACCTGAATCACGTACTTGCCAGGGGAAGTGAAAAAATGAACACCTCAACAGATATTTACAAGAATCTAGCGACCAAGTCAGCATTTCAATGGCTAGATTTTCGAGTTCCTTACTGTTTCTCATATTATTTTTTGTAACCAGTACTTTTGCCAGTGAGATTTACACAAATGTCTGGGCAGTGAAAATCCGAGGTGGTCAGCGAGAAGCCGAAAAAGTAGCACTGAAATATGGTTTTTCTTACGACAAACATGTAAGTACTTATAACGATTTCATGTTTTCCTCGTTATGGGTGACTAGCACCCAAAATTGCTTCTTTTTTGACGCGTTTTTATTCCAAAGGTGATCGCTAACTTTTCCCTCTGAATTTTTTAAACCAATCTCTTCAAGTAACATATCATTTTGAAGCTTTATGACTGGACTTAAAAAAATGTCGCTTGTTTTACTTCTCTTGTTTATTTCGATGGAAATGGTTTATAGGTATATTTCTCTATATTGTGTTGAAAACTTTTGAAAGGAGAACTGATCAAAGAAATTTGTCTGGAAGAGCTAAATTCCCACATTTATCTACATGAACATGTTAATGTTTGCATTTTTTGCCATTTAAGACGAAACTGAGGTGAATGTTGGAAAAGCATCAGTCTCAACAGCATTGAACGTTTTAACTTGGTTTAAACACTTGTCTTAGAAAGGTTGTATTTCACAGCAGCCTTAATGCTACTTGCAGAGCCACAAATTAGAAAACTCGATCGAAAATTTTTAACACTTGAATGGTTTTTTATTTTTATTATTTTGAGATTACTGTACATAGGGCTGCAGTAACAATTTACTGTTGGTCAGTGAACATTGTCTGACCAGATATGCCTGGTCAATTTGACATTTTATATTCAAACTTCTAACAAAAGACATTTTGAACAATGCCAAAAGAGTCACCTGGTCACTCTTGAATTCTTAAAATAATGGTTGGTAGTATGCTTTCACAGTAGATTTGAAAACCTTAATATGTGCAACAATTTCAAGGTCTTCCAGGAATATCATACTTTGAAGAAACCTGAATTGAAGGAGCAGTCTGAAAAGATCAAATCACATTTAGAGGTTGACAGAAACTTACAGTTTGAGCCAAAGGTGAGGTACTATAATTAGTTCTGTACATGCATATATTTATAACAACTTTGTTTTCCAGTCAACAGAGGGGGGTGAATTTAAATCCAGAAAAGAGTTAGTTTTACTGTTATCAGAGTGGTGGAAAGGACAATTCCATGAAGACTGTGTGTGTGCTACAGTGGCTAACTAGTATAAGTTGAAGTGATGTGATGCTTTACTTTTTCTGTTTGACAAAAGAGAATGTTATTGCTGTGCTTTTAACACATGGTGTAAGATCTTTGGTTGTTTAGAATCTTGATCAGAGGATAGATAATATATATATATATATATCATGGTTAGACCATCTATGTACCTTCATTTGATGATTTTTGAACAATCTACTGTTAATAATTATTGATAAAGCATAATTTGTTAAAACCTGCATGAAACAGACACTCTAGCTGTAAGGAGGGTTCCTCTGCACTTATCATTATTTCTTGCAGCAAGGAAGCCAACCACTCTTAAGAAAAAGAAAATTTCTTTTGTTAATAATTCCACAATTAATGTTGAAATTCTGTATTGCTTAAAACAGTCATCAACTACTATGTTATCACATTTATTGCCTTTTTGATATTTAGGTTGAATGGTTCATGCATCAGAAGCTGAAAAAATACCAGTTATTCTCCAGAACAGACCCAAGATTTCAGGAGCAGTGGTACATTGTAAGTAATGGTTTCTAACCATTCGATTTTTTAAGTGAGCCAATTTACAACAATAATTGTTTTATACAGGCAAGCAATGATTGCTTGAGAGGTCTGTCCAATACATAGAAAGCTTAAATTGTTAAATTGTTACTGTCCCACAGAAAAATTTCGCTGAGTTGAATAGTTTGGTCATTTTAAGGGAGCAATAATGTTGTATTTTTATTCAAATTTTTGCAATGTGATAACTAGCAACAAAATGAAGGAAACAACAAAATAGTACTGTTAAAGTCAGCTTAGTAAGAACAGAAAAACACAGAAGGTGTAGTAACAAAGCAAGAAGAATACAAGGATTGCTAAGGATCTCTAAGGATGGTGAAGAACAACAAAGAACATTTAAGTGAAGTTTTTCAAGATCACAAAATGAGAAATTGTTCCTTTGAGATTGCATAGAGGAACACATGCCTCACCTAAAAAGTCTCTCTCTACACTCTAACATCAGATCAAGAAAAGTGGAAAATTTTAAAAAACTAATAAAATTGAATCTCATTCTACGATGAAGTTAAGATAAGAAAGTGCGTACTAGTTTATAAGGCACTGCATGGGGAATCCCCTCTGTATATTGAGAGTTCTTTAACTATGATTACTCACTACATGGTAGAGAGACCAGACATGGCCAATATAATTTAATCTGTCCTAAGTTTCATAATATTACTGAAGCTGGAAGGTCTTTTCAAGTTAGTAGCATCAAGTTATGGAACAGTTTGCCAAATGAGTTTAAGAAAAAACGCAGCACTTCCTCTTTCAGAAATGATTTGAGAAATTATTTTATTGATTCTTATAGAGACATTGATTCTTTTGAGGCTATATTGTAATGTATATTTCATTCTATATATTCTATTTATATTTGTTTTTAATAGTTACTTTGTTAGGCTAGTTCCAATTTTAATTCTAGACTTGCATGTATTACTTACTAATCCTTAGTTTTGAGGGCCACTGGTTTGTCAGCGTAAGCTGTTATGTGTACACCCTCTTTAACTAAAATTGACTTACTTACTTACTTACTTACTTACTTACTTACACACTTGTACCATTTCTTTTCTAGAAAAGACCAGCAGGATCCAATGAGCCAACATACAACATCACTTTCACTTGGGACAAAGGCTATACAGGGAAAGGAATTATGGTGGCCGTGGTTGATGATGGAGTAGATGGATCACATCCTGAACTGCGTAAAAACTATGTAATTGTTGTTGTCTTGTTTTTCTCTCTTTCTTCTCCATTTTGTTTTAAAAACATTCATCATGGATGTTTCTTAATTTAGAGACAAGCAGTGAAACAAACTTACATGAAGTGCTCATACATGTACAACTAACCGGTACAATTATTGACATGTAAACACTGGAACGCTGTTTAACTTTGTTTTTCCCTTCATTGAACTCTTCATATTTGATATAAAGTAAAGGATACATGAAACCAGGTCAATGTCTGCATAACTCTACATACATGAAGAAATTACTTTTTTCTCCATTTCTATATATTTCTATTTATTTGAGTGTTTCTATTTACATGTTTATGTGTCATTCATTTATTTGCTTTAATCTGTCTCACCAGAACTGGACTCTAAGTTATGATTATGTGGCAAACAAACACATGAAACATGGAACGCCAGTATCAGGGTAAGTTACATTATTTTACTTTGTTTGTCCATAATATTAGCTACAAATTTCTTATGCTCCCCAATCACTCACCCTCCTATTATATGCTTATGTACCCACTAAGATTTGAATATAAACTCTTGTTCTTAGGCCATTGTAGCTAAGAGAAACAGCAGTGATAAACATTGTATTCCAGTGCATTTTTATATTAAAAGAACTTGACGGTTCGTATGTTAGTCAACATACATTTTCAAAAGTGAACCATTACAATTGTTCACTTTATATAGTTTTCAAAAATTGTAATGCTTCACTTTTGAAAATGTATGTTGACTAGCATACGAAACGTCAAGTTCTATATAAAATGCATTGGAATACAATGTTTATCACCACTGTTTGTCTTATTTTCTTAATCACGATTTGAATACTTCTGGGTTATTAGAAACATGGTGCCATGGGAAAGAAAGAGGCCTTGACCCAAGAACCTGTCAAACCCCACAAATGTTAGAGAATTTCTAATGATTTTGGTTATCGATGTTTAAAAACCAATAGGCGTGCCTTCATGTAATGCCTAAACATGAAAACTTAACAGGAGCTCTGTTAAAGAAGCTGGGGATTTGAATCATTCTTCATCCTAACTTTTACATATCAGTGAAAATATCCATACACTTACGTTAGATGTTGTTTATTAGTAATTGACTCATTACATGACTTGTTCCAAAATGTGTGGAAATTGTTGTTGGTGTTGTGATTCCTTTTTGTTTTGTGATTTATTTATTTTCCTTTCCTACATGTATGCTTCAAGTTCATTGTCGCTAAATTTCCCATGCAATGCAGGTTAATAATGTTTTTTAATAAAGAGCAAGTTTTTCATCCATTTGTACATAATTCTATCTGAAATGGTTTGAATAATCCGATCTAATTGTTGTAATCTGGTTAATTTGTAGCCATGGCAACAATTGTGCTGGTATCATTGCAGGAGTAGCCAATAATGGTTTATGTGGGCGGGGTTTGGCATATGAAGCAAACATTGCAGGTGATGGCTTATTTGATATGTTAATAAACATGTTCCTCTTCGAATAAGCATTGCCTTGATGAAGAGTTTAACTACAAAGGAAGAGCATGAACAGTTATAACTCCTTTTGACCCTAGAAACTATGTACGCATCCTTTAGAAATCAATAACACGTTTTTCTTAAGAACTCAGGTGTAAACTCATAGCACTTGTTATCTGAACGGCTTTACCTAACAGTGCAGGGAAAACCCCTGAGTTTTGTCCATTCTGCTCATTGTTAATGGTAATGGTTCTTTGAAATGGAGCATTCTCATAAACTTGTCTTGTAACAATAATTATTCTGGGTTAACTGCAGAGAGTAAAGAACTTAACAAGGTGTCACAAATTTTAATCATAGGAAACGTGTCACTGAAATTTAAGAAGCAAAAGATAAATGTAAATTTTGGGCTTAGCGAGTTGATATACATGTTGAGAAAGATGTTTCTTTGTCTTGTCATGTGCATGAAACAAAATTTCTGACTGTCCCCATGAGGGTATCTTTATTGTTACAGACACACTGACCTTTTATCGTTGCATTATCTTGTGTTAGGCATTCGCCTCTTTGACGAGGGTATTAAGTCGACCGATGCAACAGAATCTGCGGCCTTGGTGCACAAACTGGAAAGCATTGACATATACTCCAACAGCTGGGGGCCTGGGGACATGGGCTGGCGAGTAGAGGGTCCAGGCCCGTTGACTAGGAAAGCGTTAGAAATTGGCACTAAAATGGTATTGTATAAAATTATTAGAACTGTACCATGCAGTGATCTCATTCCTTTCACCCCCTAAGGTGTCCTGTTATTAGTTATCTATTGTTATCTCTGTGTCTTCTTAAACCATCAACGCCTTTAGTGTCTTTGTCAACATTGTCAACATTGTCAACATTGTCAACATTGTCAACATTGTCAACGTTGAAATTTTCAGCAGTCAGTTTTCATTGTAACTACTTGCATCCAAACAAGAATCAACATAAGAATAACCAGTGTTATTTTTAAATGTTAATGTATTTCAGCGCACGTTTTCTTTAGTCGACTTAGGTTGTTGCTCATTGTTCACTTGTAAAGCAGGTCTTTGAAGGTGAAAATAATCACTCAACGACTGAGTGCAAAATACTACAGTGGTAGAAATGTCACGCGACCTGTAGTCACGCTCTGTTGACGTGCTACGGTGATTGTCTGTCAACATTCGCGGGTAGCATTGCACGTTTACCCTCTGACGTCACAGATTTTGCAGTAGTGCCGCTCAGAGACTTTTGATGGGAAATAGTTTCATTGTTTGAAATCTGTGACCATTTAGTGGCTAATGAAAGCGCGCACTGTTGGGGAAAAGTTGACGGTCCATGATAACCACCAGTGTGAAGGTGTAACGAAACTACATACCCTTTTTTTAAATCTAGGGTCGTGGCGGCCTGGGCGCCATTTACACATTTGCAGCTGGAAATGGAGGCATTACGGGAGACTGTTGTGCATACAATGGTTATGTGAATAGTATTTACACCATCGCTATCAATGGTGTAAACAAAGATGGAACTAATCCCACCTACGCAGAGGAATGTCCCGGAGTCATGGCCACCACGTACAGCAGGGATTCATTTAAGGGACTTGGAAAAGTTGTGAGTAAAGTGAAACAAGACTTTTTCGAAACGAGAACAGATACAGGGAAGTAACACATGACATCAAAGGAAAGGAGGAAGATACAAAACAAAGTCTGAAAGTGACCTTTGTATATTCTTTAGCCAACCAGTGTACAAAATAAAACAAGCAAAAAACGAAATCATCCAGAAGTTACCTCAATTAATTTTTCTTCTTTGCCTTTGACACTTTCGCTTGTTTTGCCCGGGGTGTGTTTTGCCCGGGGGTGTGTTTTGCCCGGGGGTGTGTTTTGCCCGGGGGTGTGTTTTGCCCGGGGGTGTGTTTGATGTCGTTAGACGGGAGGATTTAGGGAAAGGGACAAGGTCACATTTTGATTGACGTTTACTTGGACGCGTTCCTGAAAAGCAAATGCGATCACAAAAACTGATTGCTACAAATTTTGTAAAACCTTGTTTTAATTTCCTTTCGGTTGTGTGGTTGTTTTTCTTAATTTGTTTGAATCTGTTTTGTGTATCATGTACTAGATAACAGTGGATAACAAGGAGGGCTGTGTCGATGATTTCGCAGCCACGTCAGCGGCTACTGCCATGGCGTCCGGGCTGATTGCACTGACCCTGCAGGCAAAGTAAGACTATAACGTCATCCTGTTTAACTTCACGCATAGAGGGAGAGATGAGCCACACAGAGACACAACTTAATTGTATATTTTATGTCAGAAGGAACTGTGAACATGTACAACCCCTGCACTTGCCTTAGCATTGCAATTTCGTGGTGGAATTCACCCTTTACGCCTTAACTGTAGCATGCATATCCTCCATACTGTTCGTAGACATTTCCTAAGGTGCTGAGAAACAGGATTTGTTTAACAATGGAGAGCTTCTTAAGTTGGTGATCATTTCCTTTCTTCTCGGGACCTTCATATGTGACTCGGGTGTGATATTGTAAGGAGAAATTAGATGCTGGTCACTATTACGGAATATAAATTTGAGCTTCTGTAGCCATTAAGTTAGAGAGTTGTCCCTAGTAGATGACGAGTTTCTGTTAGTTTCCACATAATTTTGATTAAGTTTAAATGGCCCAGAACAGACAATTTCTGGCAATTTAACGCCCAGCCAACGTGTTGCGGGTGAGTAGAACAGAGCACAAATGAGGATCAAATCTAATTGAATGGCTGAGGACAGGATTTGAACTTGGAACCGTGAGATTTCGAATCATATGCTCTAAGCCACATGGATACACCTTTCAAAAGAACAAGAAAAAAAAAGAAAACAACGTAGAGGGTAGGGATGAATCTGTGCGTGAGTCTCGTTAATAATGGTTTAAATCACCCCTGTTTGTTTGTGTGCTTGTGTCTTGTGCTTTGCCAATATGACCATCATGTTCCTTATGAACGAAATTAATCCAAGAGACTTTAAAATACCTTGACTTTTTTTGTTTTCAAAATGTACTGCTGTTATAAGATTTTCTGGTTATATTTTCTGAGATTTCCCTCATCGCTCTGTCTATTTTCTCTTTTAGTCCCAAACTAACTTGGCGTGACATACAGCACATTGTAGCCTACAGTGCAAGGCGAGCCCCAGGGGGGGTGGCACTCAAACGAGGATATTGGCAGCGGAACAAAGCAGGCCTATATGTCAGCAAGTTTTATGGCTTTGGCCTCATGGACGCTGGCAAGATGGTGAGCCTAGCAAAGAAATGGACAACAGTGCCTCGACAGCTGAAATGTGAGATTGAAGGCAGCGAAACGAACAAGTAAGCTATGATATTAGTTTCCTTTTGAATTTTTTTCAACAAGACAGAACACACGTATCCTCGAAAGGACAAAGAAACAACTTTAATTTAGACACTGTCGCGAAATGGGATGATTCTACTTGCTTCGCGGAGTATAGCTACAGAGGCAATAAACCTTTGGCCATGTTGGTGTAACAAGTCCATTATGTGAAAGTTAAATGCTTTTATTTCCACAAGCGAATATCACAGCTGATAACACAGCTGAAAATACTGTTCAGGTCACTTTTGCTCTTTAAGCATCCCATAATTATTTTATATTAATCCCAGGATTATATTTTTTGAATGTCTTAAAGATGTTTTCCCTTACAATGCTGAGAGACTATTAAGAATGACGTAAATATCTTCCCTAAGGATACCCTAACGTATTCTTTAAAATATACAATGGATCTTCTCGCCAATACAGTGGCCTTTCTGATGAGAGTAAATACAGCAGCGATGAACCTAACCTGTTTAATATTTTTATTTGCAGACAAATCCCAGGTGCAGTTTTTATTGAAGTGAAAAATTGCGCGATCAAATTCCTGGAGCACGTGCAGATCAAAGTAAATCTTGATTTCCCTCACCGTGGCGACTTGGCCCTTCAGCTGAAAGCACCAAGCGGCACCACATCTCCGCTGACTCGAAAACGAAGAATGGACAACTTTACAGGATACAGAAACTTAACAGACTGGATTATAGCAACTTTGTTTCACTGGAGAGAGAATCCCAGCGGGAGATGGGAGCTAAAAGTTGATGATTTTGACCCCAAAATCCCCAGTTTAGGTCAATATTGATTTTGGTCTCGAAGTTATTAGTTATTATTGTTGTTGTTAGTTTTGTTTCTGTTCCTCCCAAGTTGCCCTAACTAAAACTTATTCAACAATTTCTGGGACTTGACCAAACAAAATAACTTGATGACAACCATTTCTACACAAGCTCTATACAATCCCTACTTCAATTTGCAAACAACATCTCACTTTCCGCAGCACTTTCATAGCCTTGGCTACACTAGTTAGTTTTTTTTCTGTTCCTCCCAAGTTACTCTAACCCTTTCCAAACGTTTTTAAAGTAGTTTATAATATGTACTGTGTCATTTGATGCCTCGCGGGCATCCACCCCTTCCCCCCATTTCCTACAGGCATATGTAATACAATGTTGATCAAGCAGAAAAGTTGTGAAAGTTAGAATATAATGAACTAGATGTGGCATTATATCGTAAAATAGGTTGTGCTAAATAACACTCCAAAGAGAAATGTAATCGTTTGTCTCACAATGTGTTCGCACCTGGGATGTGGGATGTGACATCTTGACAAAGAAAAGGCCAGCAAAGGTCTGTGCATTCATGTGCCAGGAGAAGATGTTTCACTTAGTTTTCATTGATCCAGCAAATCAAATTATTGTTGTTTCTTTTCCTGACATTCTGTTGTTTTTCTTTTGGCCTTTTTCTGTGCTGCTGTATAGGTTAAGTAAAGTAGGCTGTGGTTATTTATCATAGTAAATAACACTCTAAAGAGAAATGTAATCGTTTGTCTCACTCTGTGTCCGCACTTGGGATGTGGGATGTGACATCTTGACAAAGGAAAGGCCAACAAAGGTCTGTACAGTCACGTGCCAGGAGAAGATGTTTCACTTAGTTTCAATGATCTAGCAAATCAAATTATTGTTGTTTCTTTTACTGACATTCTCATGTTTTTCTTTTGGCCCTTTTTTCTGTTTCTTTATAGGAACGCTTTACGACTGGTCTTTGATACTTTATGGGACTTCCTCAGACCCACTCAAGTGTTTACCAGAAGTCGGCAACATACCAATGAACCAACCCGTGCCAACAAAACCATCGAAACCACCGCCCCAGTCAGGTATGGTAATCTGTTCATTGTCCCAACTAGTATCAGCGAGGCACAGGTTTGAATCCTGTCAGTTCCTGAATTGTTTTCTACTTCTTTTCTGCATTAGCTTAAATCTGATTGCACTACACCTGCGAAGATCATTTTCGTCATTTGCGCTTCTTGTTGCAGTGCATGTAGCAAGTTTGATCGTTATCAAACCAATGGGTCACATGTTATTTTAGACAAGTAAAGGAAAGGTGGCCATGGGCTTTGTTAGAACCCAATACCGAAGGCGGTGTCACGTTGAATTTCTTAGTGGAGAGATTTAAAAGAACCTTGCTGCAATGATTCAAAGGAAGGGCAGAGGAGAGCAATACGCGCAAACATCGCAGTAAGAAACATAACATGAGCTAGAATGGTCTGATCTGGATGGGAGAACTGTGGGGTTACTGATACCACAACTCTTGGGCGATACTGAAGTTTTGAGTTATCAAGATGTGATTGGCTTTGATTTACTTGTGATTATGATGTAGTGAAGCAAATCCCGTCCGACTGTTATGAAACCTTTAACCCTCTTTTCCTTTATTTGTTTTGAAAATTAGAAACAACGAAACTCTCCAGTTTAGTTTTATTACTTCCAAAATCGTGTTGCCTCTCGGATTAGATTGATGTTATTGTGGCGTAGGTTTTAGCTCTAACTTATTTTTACATTTTTTTTATTTCAAAGGTTCATGGGACATGCTCGGCTTTTTAGCCATTCTCCCGGTTTTTGCTTTGTTTATTTTTTACTGTCGTTGGAGGAAAAAGAACAAAGAAGTTGAACGAGACCGTGGTAAAGATGACGTGATGCAAAAGAATGAAGGAGTAGGAAAACATGACAATGACAAACATGTAATCTCTGTTAAATCAATAGAGTCGGGGGAAAGTAAACCTAACGGAGTTTATGGTGGCTCAGATATAAAAGGAAGGGTTTCGGTATAAAGATATTACACCGGAAAGAACGGTATTCAATAGGGATACATCCTACTTGAGTATGTTAGAACTGATTTTTGTAAACTTCAAGCGAATGAGATTCGTTTTCATTTCATCAATTACCCAAGCTTCAAGTTTCACTTTCTCTGTTTCTGTTAGCTATTCAATATTGAATCAGCTCAAAATTACGTGACATTGCCTCATCAAAGTAAACATGTTTTGTCTAGGAAAAAACAGTATTATACGTCCATGCCTGAATGAGAAATCTTTGTGGAAAATTAATTTTGATTCTTCTTTTAGACATTTTTTGTTGTTGCAGGGTTATCGAGTAAGCTCTTCCTGATAAATAAAAGTAAGTTTTAAGATATATTTCGCGTTGTTTTTTTAGGCTCGTTGAAATTTTTCTTAAATTGGAGTAAAATATTTGGATAATTTCTAAGGTAGTCACTTGCCCTACCACCAAAGAAACAAGAACTAATCTGTAGGGAACAAAGTTCGGTAAGAATGGAAAATATTATGAGAGATATCAAACTGACCTACCTTGAAATAATATTGAATATTGAATATTGTTGACCTACCTTGAAACAATATTGAAATATTGAGTATTGAATATAGTTGACCTACCTTGAAACAATATTGAAATATTGAATATTGTTGGCCTATCTTGAAACAGGTAACTGATTTTTTTAAAAGCACAAAAAGTTGCTCGGGTGCTTACTGATCAAGATGTTTAGGAACTTCACGCTGAATGATCTTCCATGAATATGAAAAATGATAAAACAGAGGTTAATATATGGTTCAAAGTGTTTTGTTACGGAAGAAGCTCCCCAAATTAACGCGTTTTCAAGGTTATTTCCGTGTTTGTTAACTTAAGTATGATATTTATGCTTCTAGTGTCAAAATATGTATTTTTCTTTAAGTCTAGATGTTTTCTTATTTATTATGGCCCTATTGTATAAAATTTGTGTACTTTATTTAAAGCTTACGTAAAACGTAGGCGTAGTGGTCGTTTAAATAACAATAAAATTCAATACTTTTCCTACCTACTGAGAGTCCCTTCAACAGGGCATTTTAGTCACAATGTAAACTATTACATAATACTGGTAATTAAGAAAACTTATTGACAGGAATTTAATTCAATTCAAGATATATTCCAAATTAGTATATACTAAAACAGTGGATAGCGTTAAAGGCGCGCTCTGATTGGCTAGTCAAACTCCGAATATCCTTTGCTATTTACCTCCGAGCAACTCGGGAAAAAATGGCGTCCCGGTTTGCATCCGTGACAAGCGAAGAAATCACTCAAATTAACGACGGTGGTGTATATTATCTCACTGTTTTAGTATATACTAAAACAACTATTCACCTCAGTGTCGGTGGTTAGCGGTGGATATTTACCTCGCCGCTTCGCGGCTCGGTAAATATCCACCACTAACCACCTCCACTTCGGTGAATAGTTGTTAATTATTCAAAATATGTTCAAAATTACTTTTTATGAAACACATTAACAAAAAGTGTCCGCTTAAAACTGTTAATTTCTTTAGTGTTCTTGATATTGTCGGCTACCCCATTCCATTCCCTCTCGTATGTCCCATGAGTAGAAGTTTGCCTAATGCACTCAATTCAGAGCTTACAGTCGAATTCTACCAGAGTCGAAATATACGGGCCCAAATACGAACCATGTGAAATGGGGTAGCGGGAGAGGATATCCTCTTCCTGCCATCCGTCTTTGAATCCCCACATCCACCAGACTCATTTCTTCTAATCTCCCCACCCTTCTTCATACAAAAAACATTGTTTTGAGTTCGTATCAATTCCTCCCTAAGTGTCTTGAGTGCAAAATTAAACAATACAAGGGGGATTGTGTCAGGCAATCTGCCGATGTTTTCGTTTTCTTTTCTCAAATAATTCTCTTTCGTCTAAAATGACTTTAGAAGGCGTTGACGCTTACACCAAGAGCCTCAGCAAAGCTGATCAAAGACGTCAACAAAGGTCTGCGTCCCATTTCGCTCACGCCAATCCTGTTTAAGATCGCCGAAGATCGTGTAGTCGAGGAGTACGTCAAGCCAGCTGTTCTGAGAAAAATCGACGAGCGGCAGTTTGGAACTAACCATCGCACGTATACCGCTCATCAAGGAAAGAAAGTTATATCCAGCCAGGCAGACTTAGACTATCTGTTTCAACGTCTAGTTATCCCTAATTTGACCGATGGTCTATCGGTCCACGGTGCTCTGAATGCAGAGCTTACGACTGTTAAGAGTTGCTGGAGATATCGGCATATCTAAGGTGGTCAACATCTACGATCTATTAGAAAAACAAGATAAGAAAACTTTCGATACGATAAAATATCAAGAAAAACATCCTCGGGGAATCCTGATACCTACTGTCTGTAGGTCACAGAATACAATCTAGGACACATTCTAGTCACCGGCCGAAATTAAACACCGAGCGAGAGATGAACGCCTATTTTTATCAGCTAATTTTTAAATATAACCTAACTGTGTAAGTGGTATTTTTTCTTCGAGATTTTTTGTGATATAAGATATATAGTTTTTACCACCAAAAGGGTTAAACATAATATCCGTAAAACAGTGCTCGATACATATAGTAGAGCGAGTATAACGTGTGATAAGCAGAAAAAAATCAATCAACTACATTTCGTCCCTACAGACCGTGTTTCGTAGTTGCCCACTCATCAGGGGATTTTAATCCCCTGATGAGTGGGCAACCACGAAACAGGTCTGTAGGGATGAAACAATGTAGTTGATTGATTTTTTTCTGCTTATCACACGTTAGTTTTTACCACCATGTATATGTATTTTTTCAAAGCCTGAATGCGAGATGGAACGTTCCAAACATAGTTTTATTACTAGCTCATTATGTAGGCTGTTATTATTCCTGGTTTTTTAAATTTGAAATTTTTTTTTTATTTTTATATTGGCATTTCATCCTTTATTAACTGTAATTGCAATGAATTGTACCTTAATACATCTACCTTTATATACCTACTTTTATCTGCTTTTATATTGGCATTACTGTATATATCTTGTCGATGATCTTTACGTAATCAGCCTTGCGGCTGTAATGTTTTAGAATAAACTATCTAATCGTAAAGTTTTAATTTCGTTCTGTGTCTACCAGAATTTACAACACCTCATCATGGGAATAAGCTTGCCAAATTTATTTTTTGACACACTGGTTGCTATCCGTGTAAGGCAGCAGGCTATTTGTTGCAGTCTATAGAACGCGTAAGTGGTTGAATCATTACTTAATCTTCTCCAAGTCTTCTAGAGAAGTTAGCCCGCAAGCGAGGCGACCGCGAGGACGAAGTCAGGCGTTTCTTCTCTTGCGCGCGACTCGCGACTCGCTCCTCGGGCTCGCCTCGCGCTTGCCTCCGTTCGCCAGAAAAACGCGAAAAAAATTGCGCCTGCTCTGCCGATAAGATAAAAACGATGAGTCAGGGAGCTTGACTGGTTGAGCAATTGGCAGAAAGCAAGCAAAACCTCGTTTGTTCGGCGTAGAATAATGTACAAAGCTTTGTCGACAAAAATCACACAGAGCCGCACAGTCATGCTTTCCTTAAAGAGTTGTAAAACTGGCCACACTTGTGACGTTTCACTGTTCGTTTTGTGTTCCTTTTCGCATTCATGAAAATATATGTGCTTTTACAGTAACCCTTCAGCTACTTGGCAAAGTAA